ACTAATATCTCTAAAAGCATTGAGTACATGTATTGACCAAGGTAGAAAGTTTGAACCATCATTTTGGAGAAGCACCGGCTCCAACTCGATAGGCGCCGACATCCTTTTCTCACGGCGGTGAAGCTTTAGGTGAGAACCTTGCTCGATACCAATTGAAAGGACCTAGGATGTCGCCTAGAGGGGGGGGGAATAGGCGCTTCGAAAATTAACACCTTTAAATGCGGAAACAATTAGAAAGGGAGTTTCCAAAATGGAAACTCCAAATTAAGAGTACTACCACCCCTCACAAGTTAGCCACAGAGTAAACAAGGTATAAAGAATATATCTAGAGGCTATAACCCCTGCAACATCAAGTTAGAACAAAGAATAAATATTTTTAGTGCAGGTAGGAAATACCGGACGTGTCCGTATGAATCTGGGGACGTGTCCCAGATATACACGATTTCAGCAGATCAGCCCCGAACTTGCTCCTTTTGATTTCTATCTTCAAACCAAAACTGCAGGCACCTAATTTAACTATCAAGATATATACAGAGAACCGCACAAGTGCTAGAGCAACACAAATATAAAATGAAATGCGAATTGAGACACGATATTTGTTTTATCGAAGTTCGGACTCGCTCGAGTCCTACTCTCCGTTGAGGGGGTCTGCAGGCGACCAACAAGGTCAGCCCTAGAGGATACCACGAAGGTCACTCTAGCCGAGTCTTTTCCAACTCCTTTTCCTCCTTCCACTAATTGATTCCGAGGCGCGAGAATCGACTGCTACAAACTTTCCAAGGCACACCACAATCTCCGGGTGCTCTCCGTGACGTCTAACCGCTCTAGGACCGAAGAGTCCAAGAGTAACAAAATGCGAATCACGAGATTGACAATATGCACAAGTGCTCAAGTGGTTGGATGGCTCTCTTTGAATTTCACTCAACCCACAAATTGATTTTGCAAGTTTGATCAATCACTCACTAAGAGAGGGTTGGCAAGGCTCAAAAACGTGTGTCTAAGTCAAGAGAATTAGCAGCCTCCAAAGGTGGAGGCTTGGGGGTATTTATAGCCCCCTTGAAAAACTAGCCGCTTTTTTATAGTCGTTGCAATATCTGGGACACGTCGGGTATGCACTCGGACACGTCCGGTATGACTCAGATCGCGCCAACGGTAACTAAGTTACTGATGATGTTGTGAGGCCTCGGAACTCCCGAAGTATGTCGGGACTTCCGACCGTCGGAACTCCCGACTCAAGTCGGAACCCCCGACCCTCAGCAATTTTGAAAAACATGTAACTGAGTTAAAGTTAGTGAGGTGTCGGAACTCCCGACGCATGTCGAAACTCCCGACCCTCACGGCTTTTAAAAACTAGCCGTTGGCTTCTGGTCATCCATACCGGACACGTCCGGTGTGAATACCGAACACGTCCGGTATGACCAGGACAGTGAAACCTCAAAGTGTGTTGAAGTGCGAGACGTCGGAACTTCCGACTCATGCCGGACTCCCGACCGTCGGAACTCCCGACCCACGCCGGAACTCCCGACGAAGCAACCCGAGAACAACAATTTTGCAATTTCTTTGGACAAAACGGACACGTCCCGGTATGAATCTCGGACACGTCCAGTATTGCTGCATCAAAGAAGAAATCGTTAGCACATTTGTCGCTCAAATAATCAAACCTCACATGGGTTGGCTTGAGCACTTATGAAACATTATCTATCAACATGATGCATCCCTCTTAATAGTACGGCATACCTATTAAACTCAAGATCAAAAGAAAAATGAATTTATACCACTTGAGTTGATTTCTTTTGAATTGATGCCGTCCCTTCCAATCTTCATCAAGTAAGGGTGCTAACAAGTTGATGTTGATCTTTTCATTTGAGCATAGCCATCTTGAGCATGTGACTTGATTCCATTCATCAAATTTGAATAACCCCAAATGTATCAAGTCACTTCCATCAAATACTTCATTATAGATTTGATTCTTCACATCAATATGACCATCTTAGCTTGATTAGTACCTCAACTAAATGCAAGTACTTTCTTCTTCACCCTAGCTAGGTTCTTTCGCCGCCAAGCCGCCGCTTGCCCTTCACCCTTGCTTAGTACCTCGAAGCCTTTCCTTGCTATCTTCACCATCTCAAGCCATCAAGTCACATCTTGTGTTGAATCATCCATTCATATGTATTGTTATCTTTTTCATTTTAATTTAGCAAGCTTCAAATATGAGACCATTCCATATGCAATCCCTCATGTCTCATTAACTAATAATCATGAGCTTGCTTTCACATAGTCAATGGAAATCCCACAAAAAATAAGCCTTCACATGAATTCCATTTGCATTGTTGTCTTGTGCTCGAACTAGATTGTTTATACAACAACACATCATTTTGGCTTTCATTAAGTACCTGTGAGATAACCTATTACCTGTTCACACTTAGCAAACGGGTTAGTCCTTTAATCACGTTGTCATTCAATCAACCAAAACCCACTAAAGGGCTAGATGCACTTTCAGCGTGCAAGTCCTGCTCAGGCTTGCAATCTGAGTTGGCAGAGAAGGTTGCCAAACTTGCTGAGCTTGAGAAGGCCAACTCAGATAGCACCACCACTACATGTGTTCGATGTGAAGCTTTGGTGTTGGAGCTTGAGTCTTGCAGGCACGACAAGATGGGAACCGAGGAAGAAAACACACACCTTCGGTCCATCTTGAGCTAGGTGTCATGCAGTGAGCCCCAGTTGGGCATGATGGTGAGCCAGTTTAGGTGGGGAACTGACTCATCGGGAGTAGGCTTTGCTATAGGTGGGAAGGGTGAGCATGTCTATGGCAAGGTTGGTGAACATAGTGGTTTGAACCCAAGTGAGAAACCCACCAACACTCCCCAATTGATCAAGATCCCTCCACCAGAGCCTACCAAGCCTATGATCAAAGATGGTGTGTTTGAAGAACCACCAAAAGCTCCACCATCCAAGCAAGTTTGGGTTCCCAAACCGAACCACTTTCGGAACTCACTCGATACTCTACCCAACATCTCTAGTGCACCCCTTCCTAAAGCCAAAAAGCCTCAGAGAGTGAACCACACCCACAAGAGAGTGAGTCAACCACCACCCAAGAGAGAGGTGAGGTACCACTGTGACTATTGCCATAGAGATGGTCATTTGGCTGAGTTTTGCTTTAGGAGGAAGAGAGATGAGCGGCGCGAGTACGAGTTGAACAACCGGAACATGTACCGTCCTCCACATGGCGTACATGTACCACCTGTTCAGAGGCACAGTGTTAGGCCTAGAGGTGCAATGCCTCAGGTAGCGAGACCACGAGGTGGTCGTGCTCGGCGTGGCCCAAGTCATGATCAATATGACTCTGGACCTCGCGACGGTGGCTTTCAATCCCACACTCCTAGCGGACCACGTTTTCCCCCACGTGGTGATCGCTTCTCTCCAATGGGACATGGCATGTATGGTGTTTTCCTAACACTTTTCTAGGGCAAATGACTCAACACTGGTATTCTCCTCATTTCACTAACCCCAGTGTTGTGCCATTTGCTCACCCCCTGTCTTTCTATTGATGCAGAGCGGAGGCCTAGAGAACACGTGGCTTGTTGATTCCGGCTGTTCGTGCCACATGACCGGAAGTTCGCAATGGTTCTCTAGCCTCGACCCCATGCAATACAAGGAGTACATCACATTTGGGGACAATAGCAAAGGTAAGGTTCTGTCTCGTGGGACCATTCGGGTCAACGAGTCTTTTATCTTGAAGGACGTTGCTTTGGTTTCAAGCCTGCATTTCAATTTGCTCTCTGTTTCGCAACTCCTTCAAGATGGGTTTGAGGTGCGCTTTAAGACTGGACTTTCTCATGTGCTCGATTCTCAGGGACATCTAGTTTGTCAGATCGTTCCTTTTGGCCGAGTTTTCAGAGTTGATTTTTCTCAATCTTTCGGTTCTTCTCGCTGTTTGGTTGCCAGATCTTCTTCTAATTTGTGGAAGTGGCATAGGAGACTTGGTCACTTGAGCTTCGATCTCCTAGTGAGGTTGAGTTCTCTTGACATGATCCGAGGATTGCCCAAACTTAAGTTTGAGAAGGATCTGGTATGCCATCCCTGTCGCCACGGGAAGATGGTGGCTGCTTCCCATCCTCCAGTGACTCAGGTCATGATCACGAGACCCGGTGAGCTACTCCATATGGACACTGTTGGTCCGGCTCGGGTTCGGTCAGAGGGAGGGAAGTGGTACGTTCTTGTGATCGTGGATGATTTTTCTCGCTATTCTTGGGTGTTTTTCATGGAGGGCAAGGACGAAGCGTTTTCTCATGCTCATGACTTGATCTTGAGGTTGCAAACTGAGTTACCAAAGAATGCCATACGAGCTATCCGTAGTGACAATGGCACTGAGTTCAAAAACTCACAGTTTGACACCTTTTGTGCTTCTTTGGGTCTTGAACATCAGTTTTCTTCGCCCTATGTCCCTCAGCAGAATGGTGTTGTTGAGCGTAAAAATCGGACTTTGGTTGAAATGGTCAGGACGATGCTCGATGAGCATAGGACTCCTAGGTGTTACTGGGCCGAAGCCATCAACACCGCCTGCCATGTTTCAAATCGCATTTTCCTTTGTGCTTTCTTGAAGAAGACATCCTATGAGTTGCGGTTTGGGCATCCACCCAAGGTGGGTCATTTTCGAGTCTTTGGTTGCAGGTGCTTCATTCTTAAGCAAGGTAATCTTGACAAGTTTGAATCTAGATCTTCGGACGGTATATTTCTTGGTTACGCTTCTCATTCACATGCGTACCGTGTGCTTAATCTTGAGATTAACCGTGTCGTGGAGACTTATGAAGTCACCTTCAACGAAACCATGCCCTCTTCTGTTTCTGTCTTTGAACGTGCAGGTGATGAAGAGATGGGTGACAGCATTTTCGTTGAGGACGACGACGACGCCGATTGGGATGATCCCAAGCCATCTCAACCGGCTGCACCGATCGAGCCAGCTTCGACCACTTCGGCTCACGGCCCCGAGCCCTCCACCTCTACTTCATGGGGTCCGTGCGAGCCGCTTCCTCAATCGACTGAGGAAGCCCCAGCTGTGGATAAGGGGGAGGCGACTTCATCTTTGGGTGCACCTCGACACATCCAGCGACGCCATCCTCCTCAGACCATGATCGGCGACATCGACGAAAGGGTAACGCGTTCCAAGTCTTATCATATTTCCCATTTCGCACATTCGGCTTTTGTCGCTAACTTTGAGCCCGAAAGTACTGGACACGCACTCTCTGATCCCGATTGGGTCAATGCTATGCACGAGGGAGAATTTTGAGCGGAATCAAGTTTGGGTCTTAGCTCCACCACCACCCGAGTGTCATCCCATAGGAACCAAGTGGGTGTACAAGAACAAGCAAAGTGAGAATGGAGTTGTGGTGAGGAACAAGGCTAGGCTGGTAGCGTAGGGGTTTAGCCAAAAAGAGGGAGTAGACTTTGAGGAGACATTTGCTCCTGTGGCCCGCATTGAGGCCATTAGGATCCTCCTCGCCTTTGCAGCATCCAAAGGCTTTAAACTCTACCAAATAGATGTGAAGAGTGCTTTCCTAAATGGCTACATAGAAGAAGAGGTGTATGTGAAGCAGCCTCCAGGCTTTGAAAACCCCAAATACCCAAACCATGTTTACAAGCTACACAAAGCCCTTTATGGCCTGAAGCAAGCCCCCAGAGCGTGGTATGAGAGGTTAAAGTCGTTCCTATTAGCTAAGGGGTTTGAGATGGGTTCTGTAGACAAGACGCTGTTTCTCCTCAGGCATGGCAGTGACATGCTCTTGGTACATATTTACGTGGATGATATTATTTTCGGTGGCTCCTCTCACGGTCTTGTTGCAAAGTTTTCTGAAATGATGAGCAGGGAGTTCGAAATGAGCATGATGGGCGAGCTCACATTCTTCCTTGGACTTCAGATCAAGCAGACGCAAGAAGGAACCTTCATCCATCAAGGCAAGTACACGAAAGACTTGTTGAGGAAGTTCGACATGGGTGAGGCGAAGCCCCTCTCAACACCCATGTCAACGACTGCGGCCTTGGATGAAGACAAGGAAGGCAAGGCGGTGGACCAGAAGGAGTACAGGAGCATGATTGGCTCCCTCCTCTACTTGACAGCAACACGACCTGACATCCAGTTCACCGTGTGCTTGTGCGCCCGTTTCCAGGCTTCTCCGCGCATTTCACATCGGCAGGCCGTCAAGCGGATTTTTAGGTATCTCCGGTTCACTCCTAAATTTGGTCTTTGGTTTTCCGCTTCTTCTTCGCTTTCTCTCTGTGGTTACTCGGACGCCGACTATGCTGGTTGTCGAGTTGAGCGCAAGTCCACCTCCGGGACTTGTCAATTTATCGGCTCTTCTTTGGTGTCATGGTCTTCTCGCAAACAATCCAGTATAGCCCAATCCACCACCGAAGCCGAATACGTTGCTGTTGCCGCTTGCTGCTCACAGCTCCTATGGATGGTTGCCACTTTGAGAGATTTCGGACTTGAGTATAGGAGAGTGCCACTTTTCTGTGATAGCACGAGTGCCATTAGTGTTGCAAAGAATCCAGTGCTTCACTCCAAAACCAAACACATCGACGTCCATTTCCACTTTCTTCGAGACCACTATGAAAAAGGCGACATTGATCTCATCCATGTAACCACCCAAAACCAGCTTGCAGACATCTTTACAAAGCCTCTTGACCGAGCCCAGTTTGCTCGCTTGCGAGGGGAGCTTGGAGTTTGTTTCCCTTTTTAGAGGAGGGGAACTTTGGTCCACCTCCTTGTCGGGGTCCACCTCCTTGTCGGCGTCGAGCGGCTCCGCGGCGTCCATCAGGGCCCCGAGCTCGAGGCAGCCCTCGAAGGCGCCATCGACGGCGACCACGGGCACGCCGCGCTCGGCGGCGAACCCGCGCACCTTCTCCATGGCGCAGGCCTCGGTGACGATCACCTTGGCCCCCGCCGTGGCCACCTGGCGGTGGATCTCGTGCGGGGTGTAGAACGGGTTGGCCGTGGTGGTGGCGGCGCCCAGCCGCGCGGCGCCCAGGAAGACGAAGGCAAACTCGGGGCAGTTGCGGAGCAGGTTCATCACCATGTCGCCCTTCCCGACCCCGAGCCCGCGCAGCGCCACCACGGCGGTCCGCGAGAGGCGCTCCACGTCGGCGTAGGTGTGGACGGCGCCCGTCTGCCCGTTGATGAGGCACGGGCGGGAGCACACCTCGGGGAGCCGCTCGAAGCAGTAGGCCTGCAGCGAGAGGTGGCGCGGGATCTCGATGTCCGGTAGCTTCGAGCGGAACACTACCGACGCCGCCGCTGTTGCGGCGGAGTCCTCCGCGACGGAACCCATCGGCCTCGCCGCCGGTGAAGCGATCGACTCCGCGTGGGTCGGAGGGCAAATGGTGGTCGGGATTTCGAGGGCTCTGCTCGGCTCCGCTGCTCGCCTGAGCTGAGGAGTGGCGGAATTTGGGGGAAGGCCGGGTTATTATACCGCCGTGGCGAGGTGGAAGGGGGAAAAGGGTTGGTGGGGGACAGATCACAGAGGTTGACTGGTGGGGCCGCAGTGTCGGTGGGGGAACGCGTAGCGAATTCGAGGGTGTCCATGCCATCCGACACGGACACCGCGTTGGTGAGATGGCACGGGTCGGTCGATAGAGTTGACTGTGGTTATTTGTAGCACGTCAGAATCTCAGAGAAGGTCATTTTGACTTTTGTTTTTCACTTTTCACCGAACGCAGGGCAGCTACTGGAGTGTTCTACTGCTATTATAAATAGGCTTATAAGCCATGATATAATATTTTTTCTCTCAACAAATCAGCCGTACAAATCAGCACAAGCGACTTTACGAGCAACCGAACATTGTATTGCAGGCAGGGTGAGCTCGGTGCACGTTTCCTCTTCCAGGTTGGTGTTAACCATCCTTTCGAACGTGATGTCGCCGGTTTTCTCACAAGGCTACACCGCCTGGACCCAAAAACGTTAACGGACAATGACACATGTGTTGTGTACTTACTAAGGCCTTGTTTAGATGCATGTGTATTTATTCCAATCCACGTGTGTGAACTTAGTTTAATTCCACTCCAATCTACTTCAACACATGTGAATTAAGATGAATACATGCGATCCAAACAAGACCTAGGTCTATAAAAGAGTATAGTTGTCACTTCCAAACGATTCAAATGGTTGGTAAAGTTATATAAAAAATATGGGCATTGATTTTTTTTTAACTCCGCCTATGGTGGGACGCCTTTGGTGTCCCAGCATAGTAGGTCCTAAGCCCTGGTTGAGGAGGAGGGTTGTGTTAGGCGCGGTGAGCCAATGTAAAAATTTAGCCACTTTAATGGAGATGAAACTCAAAAGAGAACCGTGACTCGGGGCTCTTGGTGGGTTTCAACTCTAGCCTACCCCAACTTTCTTGTGATTGGTTGGTGGTGTTGTTGTGTTGTTGATGAGACAAAATAAATAGCATTAAATTAGTTATTATGAAATATATTTTCGCAGTAAATCTAGTTGGTAACGTAAATATTAATACTACTCACTATAGACATTACTAAAGTTAAGCTAGTTTGACTTGCACAAATATCATAATTAGTAGTTCGATCTCAGCTAGACACCCTGCTCTATTCAACATAGAACTAGCATGATATGGAACTAAATACACCATTTTCATGAAATATATAAAAATGGTTAGTGAGAAGAGTGGACAAAGATTAGTGTTAGTTTCTGATATATCTAATTGTATGTAAATGATATTACGAGTTTGACACAAGATTGCACCGTATCAAGAACGATATAGATGAATCTCATAGCAAATCATAGATGATGATGTTCACATAACCATGTCAAGGTATTAGGATTTGACAAAACCGACTACAAATTCTATAAGCACAACTCCAAAATAAGTATAAGTAATTGTCGCTCTCTCACGGCCCTACTTGACCCTCTGATTCTTGCCCTATATAAGAATCTAGTGCAATAAGATTGTCTAACTTAATAATCCTCTTAAGCGTTCCTAATTGCTCCTTATCATATAAGTCTTGCATGAGACCCTTATATTGGTCCAATGATACATATGACTTCTACCCCCCTGTTTATGTATAGTCTCATCTAAGACCCATGTAGATATAAATAGGAGTCCTATTCCCACTAGAATTATATAAAATTAAGTCCTAATAGAGTTAGAAGTTCTAATAGCACTCATCTCATGAGTCCTAGTGAAGTAGGATTGAAATGCCATACAACAATCTTCATCTTGACTATAATCCTTTTAAGTCACTTTACTCCTGCACGAAGTCACTCTAAGTCGACTCCCTTCTGTTTTATTTACAATCCTAGGAGTACACATCATACCTAGACTTCCATCGGAGAGCTCCTTCGTTGTGTACTTGTGTAGCTTGGCTAACTACACTACCTTAATTATCATATGGTCCAGATGCTATATGTTTGTACGCCTCCGAACTTCGCATGCTCGCGCTGGTACTACGTGATCGGTCCCAGCATGTTTTCCTTCTTCTAGCAGCTTACAACTTCGTCTCTACAACTATTAGATTTTGCAACCATATTTGTAGTGTGGTACTTGATTGCAATTGAGATTTGAGTACCTGCCATTGACGAGACGACCTCCTTTCTCTGATCAGGAATTTGACCAAATCTTTCCATGGTTAGACTACCCTTAAGATTTTCTATATCACTCGGCATCCTCGATTAATTCAGATACTTTCATAACTACCTGCCCTTTGCAAGTAGCTCGGTTGATTTCACCTTCAATGGTTATCCTTTTTCCAATGGTTTATCCTATTCATAATTTCCTTCAATTGTTATTCTTTTCCAACGGACCAATATCCTGTTTTTATATGACCCATGACATGGTAGATTGCTTCTTGTGTCCAATCTGCGGCCATCGAAAGCCACAGTTTCTTGAAGAAATCTCTGAGAAATTAAATTGAAACTAATATATAGGCTCCGTTCGCTTCGCTGAAAAAAAAGCCGAAACATTGTCCCGGCTGATTCGTTATGAGAAAAAAATATTGTTCCAACTAAAAAAACAAACTGAAATATACGGATTATAAGAGAAGTGAACAGGACCATAATGTTTTAACTTTCCCTTTTACCAAAAATGGCTCACACACGATGACTGCGAGGGGAGAGAAGGTCAGCAGGGATCAAACCTTTAGCCGTTTAATAATCATGGCCTGAAATTAACTCGATTCGTTACTACAATTTACAGTTGAAACTGGTTACTCGTTACTACAATTTACAGTTGAAACTGGTTGAGATGCATTGTTGGGACATGTCATACCTGCGGTTACTGACGCTAGCTTAGCAAAGGATTGGACATCATCTTCAGAGGCTAGCGAAGCAGAGGAATGGACTCAGGTCCATGAAAAGTTGGCGCGTGCATCAGCCCAGCACCAGGATCTACAGTCCAGAATGGATAGGCCCAAGTACGACCTAAGCCCAAGTGGGTGAGGCGTGCGTGAGTTCGCTGTTGTACAAAGAGTGTTCACGAGAACGCAAACAATTTTATATTTGTAAGATATTGTTCACTCACAAAAAGTTCTAGATTTTTTTTGAAGCATAATTTTATTTATTTGTTTTTTCAAATTTGTTTTTGGAATTAGAATCTAACCTACCACCTAAACGGTTCATGACCTGAATCGTTTCTTAAAAGAATCTATATCTAAAACATTTCTACAGGAATCTGGATGCCTATCAAACCGGCCCTAAAACACACGATGGGTCGCGTGTTGGTGCGTCTTGGGTTGACAATGCTGCTCCCCCTCGTTGGTTTGTACCCATACTCCTATGCCTCTGGGCCCATGGACCACAGAAAGAGATAAGTAACGACAGTTTCACTGTGAAAGAGGTAGGAGGGGGAGTACGCGGGAATCATCGGGTCTGAACGGGAACCGCTGGCGCATGCGCGGGAAGTGCTGGAGTTCGGCGCGGGAAGCGTGCGGAAAGCATTGGAGAGAAACGGCGCGCGTGAATGGAAGGCTCACGTACGACAGTTCATATTCTTTTTTTCTTATTCTTCTTATTTCTTCTCTTTTCTTTTTTCTTTCTTTTTTTCTTTTAATGCTTCATTTTTTATTTTTATTTCCTTTTTTGTTTTATGCCATTTTTATTATTCTTTTCATTTTTTATTTTTTATGTTTCTTTTATTTCTTTTTCTTTTTTTCTCTCCTTTCCTTTTTTTATATTCACACGTTGTACATGTTCTATTTTTATCTTTTCTTTTTTTCCTTTGATTTCTTTTCATTGTTTTTTCTTGCTCCTATTTATTCTTACTTTTCTTTCCTTTTTAGTTTTCTATGTTTTTTCATTCTTAATTTATTTTTCTTTTTTTAATTTTAATTTTTTCCATCCTTATTTAAGTTATTTATTTATTTTATATATTTATCCTTTGGTAATCATGTTTTTATCATTTGTTTTTATTTTATTTGTTTCTTTTTCTAATTATGTTTATCTTTGATTCATGTTTTTTTTTTTTTATCCTTCTTTAATTTTTTTTCCTTTTTCCTTTTTCTTTTTTCTTTTCGTGCATCATTCATTTTTTTCCTTTTTGTGTTTTATGTGTTTATTATTAATTTTTATATTTTCATTTTTTATTTTTCTTTGATTTCTTTTTCTTTTCTTTTCTTTTCTTATTATTTTTATGATGTTCTATGTTGGTTTATGTGATGGTCATGTGGTGTACATGTGATTTTTTGTTCTTTTATGTTTCATATGTTATAAATGTGATGTTTTTTTATGTTCACGTGGTTATGATGTATTTTGCGATATTCACGTAATTTACATGTGATGTTCTCGTAGTATACATGTAATGTTCTATGGTGTGTGTTTTGAAGTCCACACAGTATACATGTGATGTTCTATGATGTATTTAGTGATGTTCACATAATATATACGCAATGTTCTATAATGTATTTAGTGATGTTCTATGGTATATTTAGTGATGTTCACTTAGTATACATGTGATGTTCTATGATATGTTTAGTGAAATTCATGTAATATATATGCGATGTTCTATAATGTATTTAAGTGATGTTCTATGGTGTATTTAGCGATGTTCATTTAGTACACATGTGGTGTTCTATGATGTATTTAGTGATGTTCATGTAATATTTATGCGACGTTCTATAAGTGATGTTCACTTAGTACATATGTGATGTTCTATAATATATTTTAGAATGTTTGAAAAGTATCCATGTGATGTTTTTTTAAATTTTTTTCTATTACGTGTTTTTATTTTTTTCCTTATGCTTTGTCCTAGATTTTATTATTATTTATTTCTGTTATGTATTTTTTATGTATATTATAATACCAATTTCATGAACCTAAAACTTG